GAACTGACCAACGTTCGCGTGGACAAATATACTAAATACATCGGAACAACAGACAAAATTTCACAACAGATTAAAAACTCGCTTATCATGTAGCTTTGATTCACACGGATATGGCGTTAAAATTTCTGCTCGGAGTTCACGAATGTCAGATTACTGGAACTAATTTTTGATTTTTTTTCTGTAAATAGTAGACCGAATATCTGGAAACGGTAAAACGTCGGTTAAATCAGAGACGTATATGTCACTTGTTTGATTTTTTTTTCTGCGTTTAGTACACAAGAACTGTGTATCGAATCTTGTTAGCTTGTGAATCAGAGGATTATTGATGTTTATAAATCATGTTTACTAACAACGATACAAAATGTATATAGGATTTTGAGACTCCGTTCACCACTGATCTAGTCAAACAATGAAGTTGAAAGGAAAGCCTTGTCTACAAACAGAAAACCATTGTAAAAAAGTGAGAAACAGCTTCGGACGATTTGATTGCGTGCGTGAAATATCACGTGATCAATCTGTGGATGCTTTACAAACGTGTAAATATATAACTATTAACTTGTATATTTGAACAAGCCAACAAGGAGCGATTGTGCTTTTAAATAGAACAAGGGTTAAAATAATGCGCAAGAAAAAACTTGATTTTTCCTAAACCCATGTGAATAATACGGTGTGTGTGATATATACATGTACTTACATACAAGGAATAGTTACCTGTACTAGTAGGTCCCCAACAAAGGGGATATTAGTAAGCTATTTACCTGGTAGCCTTCGTATTAATTAGAATCGTATATACTGGGTTATCACGGACAGTCTATGACATCTGCGAGTACTTGTCATAACCAAATGTGCCGTTGAAGAATTATATAACGTAAATCTATATTTGGACAAACAAGACAGGAACAAGTCAGTAACATTTAATCGTTGCTCGGAGAATGTGATTTTACGTTATTTGTGGTACAAGATGTCAGCATAAACATCGATGTGATTGTCAGTGATTTTTTTCTTCTGCAAACTGACAAAGCAACAAACTAAATTGACCTACGTACCAGTTAATACCATTCATTCCCGTCAACAATCGATTTGGATTAATTGATAACCATTGTTGATAAAACTGGCTGTGTATTATTAGAGAAATGTGAAGGTAAACATGTATACCTGAAGTCAATTACAAAGTTAAATCGTAATGCGCTGTGATTAAATAAAAGCATTTCATTGGAAGCTCAGAATACCACGTGGCGTTAATTTGTAATTTAGAAAAAAGAGAAACATGCGTGTTATCGGTCAATACAAAACGTATAGTGCGCGAGCGGTATACCGTTGTCGCGCTCTGGTTGTAAGCGTGACTGCCTTAACCATTATAGCTGGAGTTTCCGTCGTTTTCACAGGTTATTTGAGATCGCGCGCGACCGCGTGCCGTAGAAAATATCATGTCTTCAATGACGGCGGAACCAATAGGGTTCCCGGTCGCTCGTTGAAGGCCATTGGTACAGTAGATGGTGATGAAAAATTGAGTGCGTCGGATTTATTGAAATCAAGTCTTCTGGAGTCCCTGTATGTGAACTTAACCACTTCTGAACACAGTGCTTTGAACTTGTGGACATTTAACTCCAGCTTCCCATCGGACTTGTGGAATTTAACCTCTTCACCTGGGAACCCTATCGACATGCCGTGTCACAACTCATCCAACGGCCCCAGAGGTAGGGCGGGTATAATTATTTACTATGTTTTACCTTTTTTCAAAGCAGGTTCAATGTTTATTTTCTAAGTGAAGGTTCAACATTTTTGCGCAACTTATCGACTATTACCAATGTTTCATTTTCCTGAGAAAGGTTGCCTCTTATAATACTTCGTTTGGATTTGTCCTGTAAATCTTATTACATCGTTGTTGTGATAAAACAGGACTGTTATGTACAGTACTGTAGCAATGTAAGCAAAATCTCATGTTATACCAGCCATTGATAAAAACCAATTCCTTTTGCCTTATGAATGAACTGTCTGAATATTGGTTGATACATTTTGTAACATGTCACTCACATTCTAACACGAAGTTATTTTTATTCCAAATACCAGGTAAAGATAACACCGAAAGAAAACATTAAATTTTGTGAATAATGTCACTGGTTGCTGTAAGTACATTTTGTACAGGTGGTTGTTAAAATGATCATGGCGACAGGGTTCGAACCTAATTATAAGTCAGTTGCAAGTTTACCTGTGTGCCAAAGAGCACAGAGCTTTTAATGTAGTCGTTATCTATTGGCTATAAATATGTTCCCGATAACCTTCATGAAATCTATATAACATATCTTTTCATATCAAATTACACAACAACAAAAAAAAACAATATTAGGAGAAAAGTACATGTATACCAGGGAAAGCACTCGATCAATGGCATGATCTGTTACAGGTAGAGATGTCGCCAGCTGCTCGTGCTATATACACTGCGCGTGCGTTTATATTTACTGTCTGCTTTTGTAAAACAGCAGAAAACAAACAACGTTAAACTACTGCAATTTAACACGGATTCTATATCTTTCTTCCTCGTCTTCTTGCATTATCACAGCGATACATTATTTGGTTGCATGAATAACAAATATTTTAGTTTTTGGGTTAATGAAAAAAAGTTGAAGGATTCCTGTCCGTAAACAGACAAAAAATAGTGAAGTCCATATCAGTTTTTCTTAAATATGGTAACAACTGTAGAGAATAATGGCTTATATATACAGTAAAAACTGTCTAAACCGGATGTCACCGGGACCAAACTATTTGGCCGATTTACACAGGTGTCCGGTATATTTAGGGTCGGCATGTCATTTTTTTTAAATACAAAATGTAGTGTTTTGCATACGATCTGTATCTAAGTGTGTTACATGAATAACAAATATTCTAGATTTTGGGTTAATGGAAAAACGTTAAAGAATTAATTCCTGTCCGTAAACAGACAAAACCTAGTGAAGTCCATATTAGTTTTTCTTAAATACAGTAACAACTGTAGAGAATAACGGCTTATATATACGGTAAAACCTGTCTTAACCGGATGTCACTGGGACCAAACTATTTGGCCGATTTACACAGGTGTCTGGTATATATAGGGTCGGCATGTCATTTTTTTGAAAATACAAAAATGTAGTGTTTTGCATACGATCTGTATTTAAGTGTGTCAATATAAACAACAAAGAAATGAATCAATTACAACGTTTAATTATTTACAAAATAACCAGAATATAATACAAATGAAGCCCGATCCTACATTTGACAGCGCCTTTTTGTTTAGAATGCGTTTGCTTTAGATTGTAGCCGGCCGAGAGAAATTTAAGGACCGGAATTTAGACGGATTACTATGCCAACTTTTATGAAACAAAGCCGGTTTTCGGAATGGACAGGGTCCGGTTTATACAGGGTTGAACTTCTGTGATTATATAGGGAATATGTCTAGACCACAAATCAAAGACGGTATAGACAGGGATCCGGATCAAACAGGAGCCGGTTTAGACAGGCTATACTGTACTATAATATAATTCATGATAGATGTGTGTATATCAAGTATTAAGTGATTGTTAAAATGCCTTGCTTTTTGGAAAAATTAACACAGGCCACGATGTAAAAATGTAAACCTAGCGACAAGACAGTGTTCACAGTTTTTCTCCCGATATGGTACACGTGCTAAACGTATAGGTTACATTATGTCTCCTTTTTTCTCGGATAAGGACTTATTTCATGTAATGTTACGACCTCTTTTCGCGGATTATTAGAATAAGGATACTATTGTTGGCCTAACACGGGTTACGTAACAGTGTTAACTTGGTCAATGTCAATCCCAGTCCTGTAATTCCGATATGTTTTGGACACCAGATGGCGCATAAGTCAGTATTGTATCTACGTAATTGTTTTAACGAAGGTCAACAACTAGGGCGTAAACAACAACAACCTTATCACAAAATATGTCTTCAGAAAGTACTTGTTTACGCTTTAAATGTTTTGTTAAAACACACTGATTGGATCGTTTGAAACGCTGTATTTAGAAATATTAATTATTATACATCGTGTATATCATTTGAAATTAATTGCAAGAGAAAAAAAAGAAGATATGTATTTTATATTTGATATATTTTTATCTAATAAAATTAAATGCTACAAACCCCAATTACAATATACATATGAATACATTAACTATTGCGTTGCTATACCACCATATATGTCCTACCGACTTCAGTTGAGATTCATATCGGCTATGAATGCCATGACATGATAGCATCGTAGGTGGTACATTGTACATCTTTAAATTCATTAGATAAAAGATTTGACAAATGTTGAGAAAATCAGTCGATATGAAGTGGGTTTACGAAACTAATGCATAAATACTTTTGTATAAGTGATTTGTATAAAAGACAAAACAACGAGCAGGTGATCTTTTCACGGAAACGCAACCTGGTGAAAGGCGTGTCTACTACCCTTTTCGCCTTACGAACATCCATCAGCAATTAAATATGGACTCTATGTTCGATGTGATACTACAAACGCGTTCAGCGCTTACCTCAGAAGTCGTTTTACTTTTTAGGCCCAAACTTATAGATTCCTTTTCTTTTGTCACCGTTCGTATAAAGAAAAATCTACAGAAACATTTTATCAATGGTACTACGTATCGGCAAAGGCCTCCTTGTTTAACACTAGATTGCAATTGAGTGCAGATACGTTGGGTCGCCCTATCAACAGCTTTGGTCATTTAAGGTGTACAAGATGCATGCATGTAGTGTATGAGCGTGTGTTTTGGGAGTCTGCGATATGTTCGTGTTTGTCTCCTTGTGATAGCGCGGAACTGATGCAGACTTTTAGTTTAAATCAATTTTATTGCAACAAAAGACAAATGGATTGGACAAAAGTTATTGCAACTTACTTACGTCCTTTCCGTAACAGAAAATATATATACAAAATTAATGAGTCACGTAATAACCTAATACAATTCATATATGTATATATATATAAGATGTTAAAGATGGGTAACAGCAAAAGAGGTAATGATAGGATTAGGGACACCAACGTATAGTTTTTAAATATGTATTCGGAGAGTTTACTTGAGATCGCGTGTGTGATTTTCCCAATCAAGTCGGCGTAAGCAGTATAACTAATCTATACATACATGTCCTTCTGCTTTTCTAAAGTTCAATCACATTCCGTGCCGCATTTGCCTTTCTCCTGTGTCACTCCAAGTCCTTTTGTGAATTCCTGCCTTACATACTTAGCCGACTAGATTAGGAAAACCGAACACGCACTCTTTGTCATATGGAAACGGTTATGATATTGATGGACGCTAAGATTGAAGTTAGTACACAGAGATCGTTGGTGTTGGAAAAAGGGAGAGGGGCTGGAATAAGAGAGGAGGTGGAGGGGAGAGACAGATGAGAATAGTCGAAATAGGTATCCTGGTTATTCAATAAGACTATTGGGTATTACATGTTAAACCGTTTGGAGCTTAAAATGAACAGTTGTACAGACCTACAAATTTGAATGTTTAGATTGTAGTCAAGGTTTGCATCTCCGAAGAGAAGGTGTTCAACAGTGATCTCGTTATACCAATCGAGGGATTGGAGCATTATATTACGGGATTGATCAAATTTTTTACAATTTAGTAAGAAATGGGAAGAGTCTTCCGAGTCATTTCCGCAGTCGCAAGTAGAGTTGTCTCGAAGGTGGGCTTTAAAAAGGTCGTAATTTAAAGAGCTACTGCGGTTTCGTAATTGGCAATGTATAATATTTACTTTTCTGGACCCATATTCAAGAAAACATTTAATATAAGAAGGGGTAGTGACTTGGGGCTGAATAAGAGATTTAAATTGTTTAATGGATGCTGATGACTTTGTTTCTATAGATAGATTGTTCCAGTAGTCTGAAGTACTTGGTATGAAGGATGATTTTGTGATTTGCAGTCTATAGTATGGGTTCTGAAAGTTATTCCTGTTTCTAAGATTATAGTTAGAGAAGTTTGACACAATAGGTGGTAGAAGAGATTTAAGAAATGAGGGAGCATTATCATGATAAATATTATAAAACATGGATAATTTTCTAATCCTGCGTCTATCTATCAATGATTTCCATCCGAGCTCTCTGTAAATAAATTCTTTTTTTGTATAAATAGGTAATCCAGTTATTATTCGACCTGCTTCATACTGCATGTTCTCTAATTTATTCGAAAATGTGATATTACAATTGTCCCATACTTCGCAGGCATATTCAAATAGTGGTCTTATAAAAACAAGGTATATTTTTTCCAAGTTTTTTCTATTTAGGATGTATTTTAATTTCCTTAAAGTTGCAATGTACTTTGTAGTGTTTGTTAGTATATGTTCGATGTGAGAGTTCCATGTGCCGTTGTTACTAATAATGACTCCTAGGTGTTTGTGGTTTTTAACAATAGGGATAGGTGTGTTGTCGAAAAGAAATTGTGGGTTAGAAGGTATATTTGTGTTGGAAATTAAGAGAATTTCGGTTTTATTTGGGTTGAAATTCATTAACCATTTATTTGACCAAAGGTTTAATTGTTCCATGTCGTAGTTTATAATTTGTTTTATATCGTGTAAATTTTTCGAAGAGTATGCTAATGCGGTGTCGTCAGCAAAAAGTCTAGTCATTGATAGTAATGTATTTGAGATATCGTTGATGTATACAAGAAAAAGAAGTGGCCCTAACACTGAACCTTGAGGAACTCCGGCTTTGATAGATACTTCAGAAGATATAGCATTTTTTAGTACCACTGACTGGCGTCTGTTACTTAAGTAGTTTTTAATCCAATCTAAAAGTTTGCCTTTTATCCCGTATTTTTCTAATTTAATTAATAGACCTTTGTGCCAGTAGTCAAAAGCTTTAGAAAAGTCACAAAAAACAAGAGCAGCATATTCACGATTCTCCAGTGCTGTAAGTATGCTATGATAGAGTTCGATGAGTTGGTGAGTTGTAGAGTGATTTGGTAAGAAGCCAGACTGTAAAGTATATAGAAGTTTGTTGCTGAAGAGATAGTTATAGATGAACTTATGAATTATTCGTTCGAAAAGTTTGCCAATGCAGCTAAGTAAGGAAATGGGTCTGTAGTTATTTGCCAATTCAGATTCCCCCTTTTTGAAAATAGGTGTCACATGGGCAAGTTTCCATGAATCAGGAAATACAGAAGTACGAAAGGATTCGTTGAATAGAAGTGTGAGGGGTGCAGATATTTCATTGGATACCATTTTTAACATTTTATGACTGATGCCGTCAGGACCAGCAGCTTTATTAGTGTCTAAAATATTGATTATATCTAAAACCTCTTGTTCTGTTATTACAATTTCAGTAAGGGACGCGTCTGTTTGGTTGTCAAAATAGGGTGTATCGTCGTTATGGTCATCAAGGTCAGAAACAGATTTAAAGAAGTTATTTAGAATATTGGATTTGTCATAGTCGTCTGTGGTTAAGCGGTTATTTGTAGGGTTAAGTAAGGGAGGTATATCGGTAGAAATGTTACCTTTTAAAAGCATACGCATTAGTTTCCAGTATGCTTTAGGATTAGCTGAACTATCATTGATAAGTCCATCTACATTTGTATAAAAAAGTGCTCTTGCATGTTTCAGCATATTATTTACTTTATTTCGTGCACGTTTAAATTTAGCTTCAGACAATGGGGTTTTAACTCTGATAAAATGTTTCCTTAACCTGTTTCTACGTTTAATTTCTTTTCTTATATCTCCGTTCATCCATGGTTTGTCGTTTTTATTAACAGTAACAATTTTTTTTAGGAATATGCTTTTCTAAAATAGAAATTATTTTGTCAGTGAACAGTTTACATTTTTCGCTTACATTGTCCGCATGAGAAAACAAATCTATCCAATTTACCTGTCCTACCTCTGTTTTAAGATTTAAGATATCTGCTCTGTTGTATAACCATATTTTCCTCTTAAAAGATGCAGACTTTATAGTGCTAGCTCACTGAAACATGCTGCCGAAGACACCCAGCAGGATACCCCACCCGGTCACATTATACTGACAACGGGCGAACCAGTCGTCCTACTCTTAAATTGATGAGCGTTAATTAAGCAGGAGTAGAAACTACCATTCTTACAGACTCTGGTATGTCTCGGCCAGGGGATAGAACCCAAAGCCTTCCTCACAGGGACAAACGCTCAACTAAAAGCCAAAAGTGAGGCATTGTCAAGGTAGACATTAGGAAGAAGAAAGTTGTTAAGAAACAAGAGAAAAGATAAGATCCCAAATTAAGTCCACTCTTACGATAATGCTATGGGGGCAGCAGGTATAATTCCTAACAAAGTGATAGATAAAGATTTAGTCAAAAAGATGATTTTTTCTCTGTATTTTTACGAGGATATTACATGTCATTAAAAAGCGTTTCTATTTCCTACGTCTATACATGTGTATCAATATGATCCAGATTCTCATATTAGACCCGATGGCACCCGGCCCTTGGGCTGGTAAAAATACCTTGTAGAATATTGTTACGGCAAACGATATAGAACTGGTCGTTTTATTACTTTTTTATCATAAACTACACTTTATGAATATTTTAATACAACATCAAAATTATTAGGAGATAATAATCAGTTGTATTTATAAGAAGTAATCGTAAGAATGATCTTTTATAAAATTGAGGGTTTTTTGTTAGACAGAAAGTCAAATCTGGTTGGTCTGTTACGATTTTGTCATTCCTTGTGTCTATATAAACACATGTGTCAATCTCGTTTACGGAAAGTGTCGACGGTTCCCGATAGGAATTGCTAGTGCTTGTATCCCTCGTGGACAAAAAAATCCCGGACCATAACACCATGATCATTAGTCTGCGATAAACAAGCAGGTCGTGTAAAAGTATATCCTTGTCTGATTAACTTCGTCAGGGGTCAAGGCTAAAACGGATTTCCCTTAGGGGTCGACTCCCATAAGGATTGACACCTCTTTTGACATCCGTTTTCTTTCAAGCAGGGGTATTTTTTTGGATATCATTCACTATTACAATCGGACCCCGCTCGACTATTTCTGTATTTTCCGAGCATGGGACGGAAAAGGGCGAAGTGATCCAATTCTGTACTTTGATTTCCGGCACGCTGGCTTATGCCTAATGGCAGGATTAGTTTGATACAAACGGGTATTGTTGTTCGCCTCGACATAAGTTTAAAGTTATGTATTAACATAATATTGATTAAAGGATTATTGATTGGTTGTTACACATTATTAACGCATTTAACGACATAAATTTACATTAATTCAAAAGTGGTCAAAACAGGCATTGTAATGACCCAGAAATACGTAACGTTATCACAGGATTTTATTATACGGCGGCTTTATACACTTGTAAGACCAACTTAATAATAGTAATTAGTAATTCGAGGTTCTTATATACCGCTTTATCACCCACTAGTGCGTAGTTCGTCTCAAAGCGGTTTACAAATTATTATCCGCGGTTATACAAAAATGTAGGGCCTTTGCAACCAGCCAATATCTTGCTCAACTCCCTGGGGAGCATACAGCCGGTGCGGCCATTTCGGCGCTCACAGCTAGCATACTACAACTCTAGCACTGCCCAACCACGTACTCATTTACAGCTGAGTAGACTGGGTAAAATTAAGGTGCACGGTACCCCTGAATCAGTTATAGTCGCAAAGAAGTGCTCAACTCAGAATTTTGTTTATCCATTCATTTTTACTTATTTATTGTAGGAGGTGTATTCTCCCTTTTTGTGTCGCCTGCGAAAAGCTGGTGAAACATAGGTATTGCTATGTCGGCGTCGGCGGCGTCGTCTGCACAGAGGTTTTCGTGCGATAACTTGAGTTGTCTTGGGCTGATCAAACTCAAACTTCATGCATTGCTTCCTTATTAAAAGTGCTTGATTGGGATTGCTTTTCAGGTCCGAAGGTCAAAGGTCAAGGTCACTGTTACTATAAATAGAAAATCTGTTTGCGTGCGATAACTTCAGTTTCCTTGGGCCAATCAAACTCAAACTTCATGCTATGCTAAGAACAATCTCCCAGCTTCCTGCGCAGGCGACACATCCACTTCAGTGGAATTATTGTTATGACAGATAAAGCAACTAACATGTCTTTTTATTCGGCTTAGAGTGAAATCTCCTGTCTGGCTACGCATATTTCATAGTTCATTGGTTTCTCATAGGTTTTGTAAACTCCGTGTATAAATTGTTTTAATGCGCATTTGAAACCTAATGTCAACATTGGCGACGTGCATTCAAAATGAGTTTCTGGGTGTTTTTTTTTTTCTTATTTCTATCTTAAAACACAAAAGTTTCGGACAACTACATTTCATTACCTTAAAAAATATGCAACCTAACTTTACGGGTTATTATGTTGTTCGCATGATTTCTAAACCCTTTCGAACATGGGTCGGGGATGGGGCTGGATGGCAGGTTTTTTATACAAGGGGCGACATTCGTCAATAGGACGGGCTATCTTAAGTGCAGGCTAGATCGGCTCTGTGATTTAAACATGTATTCATGGAATTTATACTAGCCTTAAGCTTGTTTTCCAACCCACCGGACGGTGGCTATAAATTCATGTTGGCTTATTGAATAAAAACACTGCGTACTCTATCCGTGTGACGTCTATGACATTCTGTATGGTATTTCCGTCTATAAACAGGTAATTATTCTCAAAGGGCAACAGTGACGAGCAAATAATTAGTTTGATAGAAATATATATATTTTAATACATCATTTGTGTTTTTATTGCCCCCTTTGCTCTCGTATTCGGTCATAAATGCAAATGCCATAAGAGTATAATAGAGTCTCGCAATTTTTTCTTACAGTGCGTGCGTCAAAACAGATATCTTTGTACATGTAAGCTGGTGTGTCTGGAGATATTTTATCGCATGACATTTAGCTCTCTCTGTCGGGCTCGTGACCGAAGGGTTGCGGTTTCGAGTCCCGGCACGGCACTGTGTTGAATCTTTGGGCAACGGATACTTTAATCCGCTTGTTCCAGTCTACTCGGCTGTAAATGAGTACGTGGTTGGACAGTGCAAGAACTGTTGAATGCTAGCTGCTTAATGCACCGGCTGTATGCCTCCCAGGAAGCTGAGAAAGATATTGGCTGGTTGCAATTTTTTTTTAGAAATATGTGGCTAAGAGTTATTATCGTCGTCAAGGTACTCATTTCTCATTTTGCTGCTACATAAATTGTAATTCATGGTCTATAGCAAAAGTGTTGGATGGGCTGTGTATACGTTCCGAGATCTAATGCTGTAGTTTTTGATTTTTTTCACCATATGATTACTTTCGTTTCTAAATTCTTAAATTCCAAACATCTTTAGTCCTGTAGAATGTATTGCGACGTGAAACAAAGCTGTTGAAAGAAACAATCTTCAAGAGTTCAAAATCGTAAGATGAATTTGAACTTTATTTATTTTACAACAAATACGATAAAAGCTATTGCAATATGTATTGGTTACTCTTGTTGGCCCAGATCTTAGTGCGCGCGAGGGTCTTAATGTACGAGTAAACTGAAGAACCGGGAGAAAACTAATCTGGTCGGGTAGATGACCCTTACCTTTTCATTTCCGACCGGGGAATCAAACTCCGGCCGCCTTGTTGAAAGGCGAGTGTGTTATACACTGCGCAACCGACAATCCATGGTTCGTTATCTTGATATCCATTCATTCAAGAATCACTACTTAGAACTCAAAACAAAAACTTGTACCAATTATCCAACAACATCTGCTGACCGTAATTAACTACCACCATATATATATACCGACCGGCGCTATACACGTCCATTAAACGGAGGACTTTTTATATCAAATTACTCCGCTGTTATAACAATATATCTCTTTCATTATACCTCCTTCCATTAAGGACC